CCTATTTGGGGAAAAATAATAAGTTTTCTAACACTTTGTGGAAGTTTCATCTTGTGACTACTCAGAAATACGTAAGTGGGAATTATAAATCCTCTCATCATTTGCAAAAGGAACAAGCTGAAGCAATGTGACTCATATTTTTGTCATTAATCTTAGAAAGGGAAATTATAGGGGAGAAATCACAAAACTAAACAATTACTTAAGATCACTGTAGGTTGTTGTTTCTATCAATTCCCAACATGAACATTCAATGGATCACAGTCTGCTAACTAATTTTCCTAAAACCAAATGCAAGCAAACAATTCTATTGTCTATTTTATATCTTTACTTTGAAGAATAAAGTTTTATCTTTACCCTGCTTAGTATTATTGCTACAGCCCGATGCAGTCTCTTAGCTTTATAAGGCCTGATATTTCTAAAGGAAAGTGTGCACAACAATATTTAAGCACTGTTGATTTTTATTTCAGATATGATAGTAGGGTACTCTTGATCTTAAGTGAGTTTTTACTACTGTATAAGTGTAAACTCCTATGGGTATATTGTATATAATTTCATATTCTCTGTGGATTTAAATTAACTAAACAACTATTAGTTTAGTTAATAACTAAAAAGAAAGGAAAAAAAACTCATGTAGAGGTGTGTGCCAACATGCTTAGTAGGAATCACATGTCTGTTCTTTTATTGAAGGTAAATTTAACTTCTTCTGGTGGACAATTTACTTGTCAAATTGAAATATCCAAGGAGAATGTTAAAAGTAACTGGATACATAAAATATAATTGTTTAGTTAATTTAAATCCACAGAGAATATGAAATTATATACAATATGCCCCATAGGAGTTTGCACTTATACAGTAGTAAAAACTCATTGAAGGTTAAGGGTACCCAACAGTAATATGTGGAGTAAAATTCAACAGTGCTTAAATACTGTTGTGTATGCTTTCCTTTAGGAATATCAGTCCATCTAGAGACTAAGGGACTGCACTGGGCTCGAGTTAGTCTGTGTTCTATAGTGGTGTTTAGACCAGCATGGGCTACGTGAATATTATTCATTCTCAAAACCAAACCACTTTCTTCATTGTTACGATAGCATAATACACAGTTTTTCAATGATTATAACTTCTCTGCCTTCATCTAATAAACAATTGATCAGACTGTTTTAGGCAGAGAATTTGAGCAAGATAAGGACATCATTAGAAAATAGGTAAAGAAAAAAATGCTCACTGGTTAGGCCATCTACAGATTTTAAAAGTAGGAATGAGTCTAGAAAGCTATAACTCTCTTTCATATTTTGGCCGTGTATCTGGTTTATCACTGTTCAATTTAAAGCATCACTCCACAGACTGGATGCTGGTAGGTGATGTCACAACAGTTGCTTCATTAAGGGATTGGTCATGTGATGATGTTTCTAAGTGAAAATTTAAATTAATAATTTCTCAAATATTATTGTGTTTAGAAATTTTGCTGATAGGTTAGTATTTTGTTTACTAGTTTTGGTCAAATTAAACAAATCTTATTCTCCTAGCTAAATATCTTTAAATAGTGGAAATATCTCTCCAAAGTTAGCCTGTTGTTGATTGTATCAAATGTTTTGTAAGAACATTATCCAGTTTTTTGCAGAGATAACTGTAGTGATATCTATATAAAACACATTTACTTAAAGAATTCAATTTAAAAACATTGACCATATTTATTATTTAACTCTGAAATATCTGTTTTCATTAGTTTGTATACTTTATATAGGTCACAATAATGAAATGTAAATATCCAATGACACTGAATGTCTCAGTAAAAGGGCTACTTATTACACATATTTTTGTTGTTGAAAATGGTTGCTTTTTTATTAGCCATACTTCTTATAATATCCTTTGGCTATCCTGTGAATTTTGACTTTCTAGCAATATGAATAGCTAAGAAAAAAAACAATATTTTAATTTAAAGATATATAATTACTGCTGAAGATAAAATATTAATAATAAAATTAGAAGCCCAAATTATTGCTTCCTTCAGCAAGATGGTATTGAAACCTCCCCAAATAGCTCTGTTTGAATTAATCATGTTCAGTTTTACAAGCTGGTAAACTCTATACATAGAGTGGTTTAGTGATACATGGATGTTTTAGTGAACTGATTTATTTTTAGTCCTGATAATCTGCATTAGATTATGTCTTTTAAACAGGTAACCAACACACTTTATTCTTGTCTGGTTTTTGTGTGAGTGTAATTCCCATAAAACTAATTAAATGTACCCTAGCTAATGTGCTTTATTCATAGAGAGAGGAGACTGGAAGTTTATAAAGTCCAGTGTGGGAAAATAACAATTAAAATAAATTAAGTGTAACATATTATTATTTATATTCATTCCATCATAACAAGTTTGAAAATCCAGTCTGTGTCACTGCAAAGAAAAAAAAAACCCATGATAATTTTTTAAAATACCAAATTTCAAGAATATTTTTACCCTTTTGTACCCAAAGGCATAAAATTTGATAATTGAGATTAACTTATAGTTACTGCTTACCTGTAATTAGAGTTGATTCGTGTGTGTGTGTGTGTGTGTGTGTGTGTGTGTGTGTGTGTGTGTGTGTGTTGGCTTAGTCTACCCAAAAGCATCAACCACCTGACTTACATTCTCCATGGATTGTCCCCAAATGTAGACTGTATTTATCTTAAGGGATTCATCAAAAATAAGTATCCTTTTCTCACTAGAAAACACTTTTGTTTATTTACAATTTGCTTTGAAAAGTATTTTTAAACAGCTACATAGAACCAATTATATATGAATGTGAAAAACATTAGCTTGCCAACATTGTATGGCACTTAGATACATCTAAAGTTACTTGTTTTAGTTGCACATTAAGGAAGAACATCCTCTATATTTCATACTTTTAAATTCTTTTATTATCTGTGTAACCAGCTGTCACATTCTCAACTTTACCAATGCTTTACCACTACCATTTCATTTCATGTAATGAAATTTTGTTACATAACTGAAATACTGCTAGTTAAAATAATGATAAATGCAGTTAACTGATTGTATGCAGGAAGAAAGATTAGCACTTTACAGTTTACAAAGCTGAATGTCATTGCATAACCATTCCAATTCTTAAGATCTTAATTTTCAAAAACAAAACACAGTGTAATACCACATTTAGGAAACTCATTTAAAATTAAATGATAGTATTCAAATGTAATTCACTGTAGACAAAGTACCCTCAGTTTGGATAATATATTTGGATAATCAATTAGTTTCCAAGCTGGTAACACATGTCCTGACAGAATCTTAGGAGAGATACAAAATAAACATAAAATAAAAAAGAAGTAACCATCACTCCTTAATGAAAATGCTTTGAGTAGAATTGTGCAAAATGTTGATATCTCATTTAATACTTGACATATGAAGAAAATACCTCATAAAATTTATAAATGACTTATAAATGACTATCCAAACACCTAGCTATAATTTATATGCACTTTGCCTTAAAATAACATGCCTTTGCTTTAATATTAATTTCATGACCAAATAAAACAATATTAGCTTCATCACCAAGTAAAACAATATTAGCTTCATCACCAAGTAAAACAATATTAGTTCCATCACCAAGTAAAACAATATTAATTTCATCACCAAGTAAAACAATATTAAATCCATCACCAAGTAAAACAAATAAGCAATAACCACTGTGTAGTAGTAAGCATAGAAACCATGACAAACAATATGACCACAACATTTTGTAAAACTGTCAAAAGCTTCAACATCTTCATGAAATTAAGTTATAAAATTTAGTAGTAAACAGACCTCCAAAATAACCATCCTGTTATATGGTAAGCGAATTAATGACAAATAAATATGAATGCAAGCACTTTAGTTCATAAAATAGATATCTTCCTTCACTTAAAACCCTGTTTTCTATTTTGTTTCTTTCTTTGTTCAGTTTATCTGCTTGTTATGACAATTCTTAATTAAAAGATTTTCCAACTTGGAGCAATAGAAACAAAGCACTCACCATTTCATGTAGAAATCACTTCCTCATGTCTCAGATAATTCAGAAACATTGTTTTAACATGGCAGTAGATCTGCACAGAAAACTGAGGGAGCATCTGAAATATTCCCATGCATCATGAACTGAACTAAAAGCCAGCCCAGTGTCATTGATGGGTCACATCTTAGTGTTTTACGTTAATGCAGTTATCTGGCTTCTTTTTTCACATCAAGTTACATAGAATCTTGATGGGGGACTTCTGCACAACTGATCCCTTTAGCATTATGTGAGGTCACTCATGTGGTTTCATTGTGTGGAGATCCAACTGGGTGTGTTTTAGAATTCAGGTAGATTGGAGACTAAAGTGACTGGTAACAGGGACAGGCTTCGTGCAGTTTCGGGGACAGCTAGGTCCATTAAGACAGCAAGAGACAGTTACAAACTAAAATACAAGGGCAGAACAGCCTCAAATGACATCACTGGATCTTATGTCGTGTCTACCAGCCTACTTAAATGCATTTTCTCCACATCACCACTCCTCTGGCCTCCTCACCATGGCCTTTAGCACTGGGAAGAGCTTGTGACTTCTTTCAAAGGAAGACAGGAGCTTACTCCAGTGAAACTCAAGAAGGAAAAACCAAAAGGATGGTATAAAACACTAGACTGAGTACAGTTTTCAATGGCATTCAGAAGACAGAAACAATACTAAAATGTTACAGGAGAATTCAGCTTGTTTGGTCTAGGCAGGGAAAAATTAAAGGGCAGAAAAGGAGGAAGGATAGAAGGAAGGGAAGGAGGGAAGTAGAGGAGGGTAGGAGAAAGAGATGGCTAAAAATCCCAAAGACTAAGCCCTTCTAAGCTACGGCTTTTCTCTGATATCATGCAGCAGTTGGAATCTGGAATTTTTTCTAGACAAACAAAAAACAACAAAAAACTTTGTTTTTTTCTTAACAAAGAAGAGGAATCCCACTACCTCATTTCAGCTCTCTTCCAATCTAGCTATAACTTATATTTACTTACAGGCGTTTGTCACAGCAAAACTGTTGGCTGTCTCAATGTTGTCCACATGAGGTACCAAATTGAAAGGAGCTTCGGAGGCATTGGGGCTGGTGTTATGAAGAAAGATTGCCAATCTAAAAGCAGTGTATTCCTGGTCTGTGTTTCGGATGAAGAGACCACCTGTGAAAGACAGCAGCTTCACACACTGTTTCCTGTTTTAGATGTTGCACGAGCCCCGGGACTGCCAAACATCTCCAACAGCAAGCACACACAATTAAGGAGCTCTGTTGCCATACCACAGGGGCTGCTTTTGTCCCTGCACTGCATGCTTAATGTTTTAGTCTTCAGGGCAGCTCAGCTTTTTCTTGCTTCAATCTGTTATGGTCACAATGACCTCTGAGACCATTTAGTGGGTTTTGCTTTCTTTCACTTGCCCTCTTGAGGCAGCCAGTTCAGGGCACCTCTCTCTTAACAGTGAGGATGCAGATAACCAAAAAGAGATTTCCATCAAAATACAGGACGGGAGCGGAGGAATGTGGAGGCACAGGAGAGCAGATTTAAAAGGTAGAGAACTTAGTTTGCCCCCATGCTTGTGTGTACCCAGCCCAGTCAGTTCGGTTTTGTGCACAGTACAAACATGAAAAAAAAAAAAATGATGCAGTGTTTGAGGCTGGGCTGGAAGAAATTCAATAGCGGAGTTCCATCAACAGACCAGAGAGGAGAATGACAAGCACAACAGAGGATGGGAGGGTCGCTAGAGACAGAGCGGGTGTCCAAGAATACAGACCAGCAAAAGCGTGAGTCAAAGCAAAATGAAACCAGCGAAGGTTCCTGGAAAAGGGTCTAACTTTTGAATCTGTCATCTACTAGCAAGACAAGGCAAGAGGTGTGGATAGAAAACGCTCTTTTCTCAGTCTCTGTAATAGTAAGAACGCTGCATCTTTCAGAATAGCAATAATTGAGTTTAAAAAAACAAACAAAAATATAAAAAAATAAAATTCGATATTTCCTTTGGCTCTAGAGAAAAGCATTGAAAGAACTGAGCTATAAAATACAATCAAAGGCCACAGAGGATTATTTATCTTGTATTTCTCTTCCTCTCAACTTCTTCCAATTCTAATTTAACCTATTGGCGAACAAGATGGAAAAAGCGTCAGGGCTGGGCGTGCTAGCCTGTGTCTACTATTTGAACTTGCACCAAGACTGTCTGATTGTAAAGGGAAGGCGCCTCTGTAGGATTCTCTGAATTGCTTAGCAGCAACTCACTTAACTCACTTCAGACACATGCATCCCTTCCCTAGCCGTCTACTCACCTATTTGGACGCTGCTTGGAAAGGCTCCCATGGCGAGTCCCCAAAATCCAGAAAACAACAAGACAATCTGCCTGCAAATAATCCTCATCTTCTTTGCTCCTCTCCCTGGTGCGCGCTCTCCTCTCTTTCTCTCACACTCTTGCTAAAGGCTCCTCAGAGTGGCATTGAAGACGATGGCGCTAAAATTTAAAAAAAAAAAAAGAAAAGAAAAGAAAAAGAAAAAGAAAAGAAAAGAAAAAAAAACCCACGAGAATTAAAAAGAGAGAGAGAGAGAGGTTTGGGTGGTTTGAGGTTATGATTGCTTCCCCTCAGCAATCCATCGCCAGCTGCCAGATGTTTCCCGCAGTCTCCATAGCCCTGGGGGAGGTTTTCTGTCCTGCTGATAATGTTCATGCAGAAGATGGTGGTGGCGGGTCTAGCTGCTGCTCTGCTCGCAGGGATGAGACATGCGCTCTGTCTGTGGCTCACTTGCGCTCGCCTGCTCGTATCCACACCGACGCGGGCGCCACACGCGCTCCGCAGCTCGCACCCGGCCCCCGCCCCGGCCGCTGCATCCGCGAGCCCCGCGCCTCAGTACCGGGTACCAGAGTGCGCACACCCGCCGCGGGCCCCTCTTCCCTTGCCCGCCTCCATTACCCTTTCTCCTCTCCTCCTCCCCGCGCCCCTTTCCCATCGCCCCTCGAAGGCCTCGTTCCCCACAGCCGGTGCTCACCAGAGCGCCCAGGTCTCCAGGGAGGCTCCCGAGCCAGTCCGCAGACTGGAGTTCTCGCGTCTCCTCTCCTGTCTCTGATCCCCTTCTTCCTTTCTTCGCTGGTGTGCGGAGGGACCGGCTCTGGTGATCAGCACCCCTCTCCAACACCCCCTTTTTTTTCTTTTTTCTTTTTATGCTTTCCAAAGCGCCTTTGGCTTCTTGGATGCGCTTGGCAGGAAACTAGCCCGGGGGGCCGGGTATGCCAGCCCGGATCCCCGGCTGGGGGGGTTGGAGAGGAAGTTAGCACCTCCCCATGGTCTCAGTCCCCTGCCGCATCCTTGCAGGCTCGCGGGAGGACAAGCTGCCTCCCCTCTCCCAGCCCTTTCCTCTCAGCCTAGCCCAGCCTAGTCCTCTCTGCCATGGGGCTGCGCGCGCGGGTGCGCGCGCGCGCGGGTACTCTAGTCATTGCTGCAGCTGCAGCAAAGATTTCTCACCAGCAAACAGGCCGGGAATCTGCAAAGCCCTTGATGGGAATGAATGCGGTGAAGGTGCTCAGCAAGGGAAGGAGGGAAGAAGGGCACAGGGCAGCCCCTGGGGTGAAGAGGATGGGGTCCAGGAGGAAAGAATTGGAGGAGGTAAGGGCGGTGAAGGGAGTCAGAGAAGTTTACACGTGCTAGGAAAGGGAGTTGTGTGAATGTGTGTGTGTGTGTGTGTGAGAGAGAGAGAGAGAGAGAGAGAGAGAGAGAGAGAGAGAATTTAATGCAGAAAGCAGTCACCAGTTACCGGCAAGAAACAGGATGAAGACAGATGAAAACTGAGAGGCTTCTAATATGTTCTTTTAAAAGGCACTGGACAGAATTAGGAATTAACTTTGAGAAGGAAGTGTAAACTAAAAACGTGTTTAAAGGCTGCATTCCTTTCTGTTCAGTGATTCACTCAAAGGATGCTTTCCTGCAGAGGGTGTGTGTGTGTGTGTGTGTGTGTGTGTGTGTGTGTGTGTGTGTGTGTGTGTTCTTCACACACATCTCTCTATCCTGGGGGTTCAGAAAGCTCACCTTACACTTGTCACCTCCAAAAAGACTTATGCCTTTTGTAGATGATGTCAGCAGTTACTCTGAGTGTGTAGAAGAAAGTGAAAAGGAGTTGCCCAAGGGTTTTAGGAATATTGTCACTTTGTCCACAGAGTCACCTTTAAAACTGTTATTTCATTGGGTGTCATCTCATGGGAAGAGGCTGGGACACCTCCGTGATTGCAGTGGCTGTAGACCCCATGGAGGATATCTCTGTAATGTACTGTCTGTGTTTCAATACCTCTCAATACAAAATAACATGCTTGAATGCTAAAAAACAAACAACTTTAATGGTGTTCCTTAAAGGCCAGAGGGGAAGCCCGGAGGTTCTAACTCTACACAAAGATCTATAGGTAACTGAGGAAAGATGGGAATGGGAGAAGTGGTTTTCCCAAGGGAAGAGCACACCAATTGGTTATCCAATGGCAAAAGGTCAGCTCTGAAAATATGTATACAAGTAACATTACATGGACTGAGGTTATATTTAGAATGAATAATATATATATTCATTTGATATGTATTACCACATGGACACACATATATATGCATTTGATAACAAGATATTGCCTCTCATCACATTTCTGATGCAATATTGCAGTAAGAACACTACCTGGTAACAACTTTCTTGACATATGTGTTACCTTTATCCCTTCAGACTACCTCCTCCCATTTTTCATTTCATTAAAAATGGACAGAATCTAGGCACATGTATTTATGGGGTTCAAAATGATATTATGATTCATTAATACAATCTGGGATAATAAATACTTAATTTATATATTCACCATCTTAGTATTTATCACTTTTTGTTTTGAAGACATTTGAAATTTGCTTTTGGTGTTCAGAATTGACATGGATGTAGCCAAAAGGGAACCTTGAATATTATTGGTGGGATATGAATCACTGTGGCCATTGTAGTAAACTGAATGTAGATTACTCAAGCAACTGAATTACTCAAGAAATTAAATTATCATATCATCCAGGAGCAAGGCTCCTGGATAGTCACATGGAGTGTAGACAGCTCTCCTACACATTTATTTCAAATTTCATCCTTTTCTATTACAAGTGACCAATGATCTGTTTTTATAGTTCATAGATGATGCTTTAAAACCTTTGTTAAAACTCCAGAATGTTTTGTTTCCTAAATTCTTAGTTTTGCTTTTAAAATCACATCTTTTTGTTGTTGCTGCTGTTGTTTTTCACCCATATTCCTGTTACATCTCAGTACAGATTGTTATGACAAAAACAACCAAATTGTGAGTAATTGGATTACACAAATCATACACTGTCATTTTGGTTTATGAGGCTTTAGTCTTGCACATCAAGAGAGATTTGAAATGTTTTCTCTTTTATCTTTTTTGTCTGTGTAAAAACTAAGGCTGCAAATAATAGCATTCTGTTTCTGTTATAAGAGGTAGTAAAATAAGCCACATAAAATTCAAGTTGAATTTAAATTAAATTAAAATTTCAAAACATACTGGTTGGTTCAATTCATCTTCTACTTGAGTAACTGGGTCCCTGCTGATGGGTGGAGGTGATTATTGACTTTTATTCTCAGAATTGAAAAACTGGAGCTTCCACTACTTTCCACAGCAGCACTGATGTGGATGGATGTAGGACAGGCTTTATTTTTTATACAGCTGTCACATCTGGACTGGTATTCCTGTAGATGCCATGGCTACATTCTTCTCACATAGTAATGTTTGCATTTCTATTTTTCAACTAATTAGCACATCCATTTTACTTTATGTGTCTAAATTCTCCTTCTGATAAGAATATACTATATACATATACTAGTTACATATAAGGTACCTAAATACGTATGACATAAAGGCAAACAAAAAAATCTCCATTGCTACTAGAGGACTTGTAATGTTTAAGAGTCCTTGCTAGGTCCAAGGTTGTAGCTGAAACCTTACTTGTAGCACTTGATCTATAGAATACTTTAGATAGCTTCATATTGATTATTAGGTTCTTGCTGTAAGGAACTCTGCTGTCTCTGTCAAAACATATGGGACCAATAAGTTTATGGTGTAACAAGGTATCAGGAAGCTTAAAAGAAAAGAGGAATCCACAGTGTTCAGAAAAAGTAGTGTGGCCTCCCACAGGCTTGTAGAGCAGTAAGGGTTTCCTGGCTTCAGATATAAGGCTTCCAATTTCCCAGATATGTTAACATTGACATGTTTCCTGGATTTTCTGTTCTAACAAGATATATTTAAAATTTCCTCACAGTTATGACATGGAGTAGGCAATGTTCGCCATTAAAATTTGCCCGCAAAAATGTGACCAAGGCTTAAAAAGAGAGAACCTGAACATGACAGTTGAGCAATCTATGATTTGGAGGTGGTTCAGTGTAAGTTCACAGAGCAAGAGTATTTGAGTTTCTATTGATTTGCTAAGACTATCAGGTAGGGATAAGTCAGATGTTGAACATGAATGATCGTTAAGTCTTTCTTGACACTGATAATCCAAGTAATTTAAAGGAAAGTGCTGGAAGTGAGGCCAGAAAGGAAGGAATTGGGTTGTTTAAACTGTTTCTCAGCAGTTTTGTATGTGTCTGATAGATGAGGAAGTATGAAGAGGTTGCAAGCAACTAGTCAAGATAACACTTATGATTCGAACTAAAAGTATTTATGACCACGTGGTAAAGTTATATAATGAGACTAGGGGCATAGAAAATAAATTAGGAACTTTTGATGTAGTCCAGATGAGAATCTACTATTTGAGTAAAACTAATAACATCTAACGTTTACTCTTTAACCCTAAACACTCGTTAGTTTTCTATACCTAAAGGCATACTACCCAAATTGCAAATTTTTGAGACAGAAATGCATTTTTAGCCCATTTGATCACCACAAAATATAAAATAACCGATAAGCCCATTAATTAGAGGGTATCTGTGATGGCCGTTGTTAACTATCAGTTTGACACAGTCTAGTATCACCTGGGAGATGAGTCTCTGGGCATGCTTGTGGGAGATTATCTTCATTACATTATTTGATATGGAACAACTCATCTTAATAGTGGGCAGGACTCCATCCTGGGCAGGGTTTCTAGACCGTACAAATGAGAAAGGACATTGAGCAAAATATGAGCATTTCTCTCTCTGTTTCTAGATTTGTGGATACAACTTAACCAGATGTTTTAAGCCCCCGCTGCTTGACTTGCATGCTCAAGGACTATACTTAGAACTGTGACTCAAATAAACCCTTTGTCCCTTCACTTGTTTTTGTTTGCTCTTTTGGTGTAGTAACAGGGATATAAAATAAGAAAGTATTTTATTAGGATATGGTACATCTGTGGGTACGGTGGTATACAAGGTTATACAAGGACATATAAGGACAGAGAAGTGTAACTATGGCATGATCAATTTTGGGCACTTGGAACCAGTGTTAAGTCTTTATTCTATTTTATAAATAAGAAATAAAAACAACCATATTTATAGTTACTACAAGTTACTACAGAGTTATCTTATATGTTACCTGCCCTAGTAATGTTATAATCATTTTTGCTAGAAATCTTTGTTTCTCCTTTTTTTGAGATATATATGTGATAATATTATATAATATGTATATATATGCACATGCACACTCACATACACTGATTTACTCATAGTATTTGTGTATATGGCAAGTGATCTATGTATCTATCAGCTCATAAGGATATAACATGGCTATAATTCTTTTTCTGTCGGCATGTGATTTAAGCTAAAAGTGTTGAAAATGACTTCTTACATCTCTATGTGAACTCCAGTACTGCAACACTCATTATCTGTCATTCAGTCACCATTATTCCTATAATCTGGAAAATGCATTTGTTATGATATTAAGCAAAATATGATACTAAGCACCTTTTGGGGAGCATAAAGTTTTTCAACTTCTGATCTATTATAGTTACTTAGCTATCCTCTTGGGAAACATTGACTTTCAGAGCTGTGTAGATGTACAGTACTGTTTATTATATCCCACTCTATTAAGTGGAAACTGCATTTTCTAGATGAATATCAACAATTTAATAAACTTACTTAAGCATTTATTAGCTAAATCATTTGTTGCCAGGCCCTGTTTTTGTTTTTGTTTTCAGTGTGCATATATTTTCTCCCACTGAGATAACACTTCTTCACTTTCATCCTTTTTTTCTGCTGACACTCAAGCAGTAAGAGTTATGCCATCCAATCTCCAAGTGCAGTGTTTTACCTTTTCATCTGCCTGGCAACTTTGCTTGAAATCAACATACTAATCTTGGCCCATAACAATTGCTTGATTAATCATTTGTCATCTATCTCCTACATGCTCTCTCTGTGATTGACATTGTGTGTGACTTCAAAGCTAATAAATTATCTTTCTTCCTGAGCCACAGAATCTTCATTATACCAAAAAAATTCACTTTTCTGGTTTTACGGTTCTAATTCCTCTCCAGAGTCATTGTAACTGAAGTAGGTCATGGAAGAGAACCTGGCAGTCTTTCTCTCACTGATTCATTCATCCACTATGTATTTCAGACTATTTTGTGTGAATCACCATATCATGAGAAAATGAAAAGTTTTATCAGGATATTTTTTCTAA